GAACTCACATGCTTCAGCGGTCCCACAAGCTTGAGCACCAGGTCCACAGAATTATTACAACATGAAATTATTGCATTGAATAATTGTAGCCACGAGTTTTATTTTTATTGGTTGGTACATATATGACGTGGAGTACCGAGAACCTGAAGAAATTTATCAGGGGCTGTCGGCAGAGCTGACGTCAGGCAGGTGTGGCTCAGGGCGCAGCTCAAAGGTGCGAGCTGAACCAAAAAGAACAAAATAAGTAGAATCTTTATACATAAAGCCAAGGCTTAATTAATAGGATTTTTTCATATCACAAGTTTCACAAAAAGTAATTGAACAAAAATACTTCTCAAATAAAAAATTTCAAAAGCAATTTAAAATAATGCATCAAATATAACAGGAGTATTTTTGTTATTTTAACATTTTTTTAATAATTAATTTTTTTATATAGTTTTTTTTAATAATTAGTATTTTATAATAAATTAGTAATAATATAATTCAATTAGTTTTTCATTAAATATTAATTTTTTTTTATTTTTAAACGATGTGGATATTAAAGTAATTTTGTACAAATAATTTTTTTTTTTCTTAGACCTCACAATTATATCACTTTATCAATACCCTCACATCTCATCCTCTCTCATTCTGTCCCTCTCTCTCTCTTTCCTAACTAACTGCCAACCTCTATATATTTTATCACTTTATCAATACCCTCACCAACACCCTTTATATATTTTTACTCAATCTCCGAAAGTGAATTTTTTTCAAAAACCTACAATCATAACAAAAGAAAAAGTATGTAATATCATACTCCATAACTCTATCCCCCCCGTTGACTCCATCCTTCTCGTTCTATCTATTGCCTAATCTTTGCAACTCAGCCATAACCTTCAAATGAAAAATCCATTTAACTAAAAACATCTTGTAGATGGTCTAAGAGCAGTCTGTACCAATCAAGTTCTCTACACACCATTATCGCTCAGTCGATTCAAATCTTGAAGAAAAAAGGTGGGTTGCTAGATTCATACCTCTCCACCATCTTTAAGTGAATCCACAATGTAAAACATCTTAACAGTTCAAATTAAATAGAAAAAAATTTAAAAAATTGAAAGAACTTGAGCATCATACTTTCTTATTCAGAAACAGAGAGAAAAAAGAATTGGGGGAAATATTGGGAAATTTACCACAGGGGTTTAGGTGGAGGTGCGGAGAGGATAAGGAAGAGTTGGTCTGAGTCCATCGTAGTTCTTCAAACTGCGGCAAGAGGATGTAACATTCCCAATGAAAATCTGAGACTTTTCTTTGTTCGCCTTCTGCCCAGAACCAAAGACTGCATGCGTTTCAAATAAATCCAAACGTCCCATAGTCTTGAAGGTGGTTTAAAATTTCAGTAGTCTCTGCTTTTTGGTTGTGAGCGAGTCTTGGCTAACCATGTGAACTCACATGCTTCATCGGCCCCACAGGCTAGAGTACTTGGTCCACTGAATTATTACAACATGGAATTATTGCATTGAATAATTGTGGGTTGGCCCTAGCACGTGGGTTGTCAGCACAGGAGGTCCAGGGCCTGTCAGCTGGGCTGACGTCAGGATGGTGTGGTGCAGGGCCCGGCTCAGAGGCGCCGAGCTGAGAGAGCTGAGGCACTGTTCAGAGGCGTTGGGCTGTGATTTTATCTTTGGTGTGAGAAAGTCCTACAAAGAAGGTTTCTGGCAAAAATATGATATGTTTAGACCCTCGGGACACCTTTGTCATAACATAAAACATCTCGAAAAAAAAAAAAAATTTAATTTTGACACCAAATTTTTTTTTTCTTCATAAAAACGTAATTATAATGGTTTCATTTGATTCATCATCATCCCCGACGTTATATGGACGCGCTTGAAATAGAGATGATGGAAACTTTCCTTGTTCGGCCACTTCACTCAATTTTTTGTAATCTCCCAACAATGATACATGTTCGTATACATTATCCTAGGTTCCCAAACCCTCCTTTTTTACATCTTCAAAAAGGATATCTCTTCAAACAAGCACCAGGGTGTTCGTATGAATCCACATTTAGCTAGATAAACCAAGACTAAACAGAATTCAAAATCCATGCTGCTTTCAGGATGCCATTGATATCTGGATCATCTCCGGCTTCTTTGTCATTTTCAAATGATAACCAAAACAACATGTTACAAGTTAGCAACAGTCACGAGTAAGTTTCTGACTCGTATTGAGAAAGAAGAAATCTTTCATTCTCTTCGACACATCAAGTCATTTGTGATTTGAAAAACTATATGTACTTCCCTCCATTCTATTTTCCTAATCAAAATGTATTCTCTTCAACTGGAACTAGTTATTCCTAGATGATGATCAATCGGAACAAGGTTAATAATTCCCATTCAGACAGATGCCCAGGAGACTTACCTTGCTGCCTGCCAAAGAAACAATGTCACAATTGTGGACATCTCAATATTGTTCATACATGATACTCGTAGTTATAAGATGGTTAAATGAAAATATATACCAGCCGCCTCTGGCCAGAGTGTCCTGTAATCCTGTTCGAAAGAAAGCTTCCAGTCTTGTCGAAAACCCTCCATGTAAAATTGCATTATCTGTAGACCTGCCTGGGATGTGGTGGAAGCAACTTATATGAGAAGTCCTACTTTCTGTATGCACTGTCACATTAATAAAAAAGAACATACAATGTTTCTTACATACTTTTGGAGTAAATGTGGTTGAGACCCAGAGACACAAATCTTAATGCCTCATACGGTGACTGCCTCAGATTTGCTACTGAGCCTTAACCAACCAGGCTTACTTCACAATCTGGTACTAGCTACATAAATCAAAATGATAAGAAATGTTCTTCAGTACTTTTGCCTTGGCAGACCTTAATTATTACATATCACAGAAGGCAAACAATTTTTTACAGTTACCCTGCTAGTACACAGATGGCAGATTGAATGCATAGGCTAATAAAAAATCTGAGGACATAGCATCATCACCCACCTTATAAATTCAACGATTAAGATTACATTCCTCCAGTTCCTCCAGTTGAGTGAAATCCATCCTAGAAAGCCACCTCCAAATTATGGTAAAAGAAGAAAAGATGCCCCTGCAGAAACGACATCATGAGTGAAGCTATAAACTATGAAACCCCTAAACAGGGAGAAGTTAGAGGAGAGGAGGTACAGGAGGTGAAAAGATTACCCTGATGCCATGCAACTTCAAGCAATTGGGAATTTCAACTCCAACAGCACCTGTCTCAGGAAACTACACAACTTTGACCAATATCCGAGGCGAAAAAGGATCATGTTTTGTTCATTTTGGAGATGCTTGAAAGTTTAAAATAGAAGTCGTACCTTTAAAAGAGTAGCTGACTTGAGTAAGATTTACATCAACCATGCACACGACTTTGAAGTATTTGGGGACAAGTCTTGTGTCTGGCTAGTAAGGTTGATAGTCAACTAAAATGAGCAAAGAGAGTGTATCTTAATTATCAGGTTATCATATGATTTAAAAAATATGAAAAAGCAGTAAGTCGTAGAGGGGAAGGAAATTTTATGAAAAACAGAGTTGAGCACATCAGATATAATGGCATTGAGCAAAAGAGACAAGATATCGGATAATAAGTAGTAATTAACTGAACTGAAATGTGAGATAAAAAAGTAGAATGCAAGAGGAAAGAAAAACCTACCAGTGATCTTTGCAATAGGTGAAATCTTGGGCCATTTTGGGCCGCTCTCCTTGTTGCATCTCTCTTTTAGAAGGGGACAACCAGAAATGTGTATCTCATTTAATTTGGTGAGACGTTTCATAGCTTCAGCAACAGGTAGATACATCAGATTCTTGCAACTCTCTGTGCGCAGGAACTTAAGAGATGCAAGGTTACCTAAATGAATGTTCATTCATTCCATTCCTTCTCCTTAGAACTGAAACAATTCAAACGATATTACACTGTTACAAACTAATGCCTAAATCACTCGGCCGTATCCCCAACCATTTTATATCTGGTGTGGTCAAATTCGCACTGTCATATGACATGTTCTTCGACCACTTCAGGCCTTACCGTCCACAAGAGCCAGCACCGGTAGCTTCAGTTCCAGCTTCACCTTGCTTAAAAAGAGTCTGGTGGCTACATCTGGCTCCCCCTTTACAGTCAGGATAAACATGGAATTCTATTGTAAAACCGATCCTCAGACAATCGAATAAAAGCAGCATCGTTCTCAACCAACAATATAAAAAATGCATCACTCTGCACATCATTCTACATCCACAGATCCTGGCCAAATGAAAAATTGACCCTGGCCATTCATTAATCGATCATTAATCAACTGCAAGTCTGCAATAGATAGAAGAAGGGAGACGATTTTCAGCTCGATCGCTCAACCCGAATTTAATCTGCAATAGAATTTATATATGAATACCATTGTTTACCCTTGAAATTCAGGACAACGAAAATCATTGAAACGCTTCAAACTCGTTGGAAAACTGCGGCAAATGAATGTCTCCAGGATGACATGTGCACTGTGACATTGGCAATGAAAATCTGAGACTTGATTCAATCGCTTCCTGACCCAAATTAAGACCATGATGATGCCCTTGAAATCAAATCGCTGCCTCAGTTAGTACTTCTCATCGGGTGGTTAGCAGTCACAATTTGAATTCAGATGTTATAATATGAAAAAGGTATTTAGCATATACCATACTCGAAAATGATTGAAAATTAGATAAGGCGGATAAGAGACATACCTTGAGAACATACAAGATGTTCCTTTCACCAAGGACCTGCAACTAGATTACAATTCCACCGTGCTGCTTGTCAGACAAACAATTTCACATGCATACGTAAAATTGGCGCTACAATTGTAGCTAAAACATAAAAACAGTAACAGAAGTTTAATTACTACTTGTAAAATTTCTCGTGATGTTACATGTTACATACAACATATAGTACCTGTAGTAATTTCTCGTGATGTTACATATTACATACAACATATAGTAATTGTCACTGTTTGGTTCATAGGTCTGTGTGGAAAGTGGAAATTTGGAGCTAGCATTGTCGCTGTTTGCAGAAATGAAAAAATATCAGATACGCCCAAATTTTGTGAGTACCAAGAACATTTCCAATCATATATCCTAACACATTCTGAGGAAAGTTTTCGTACAAATAAGCATGATTTACAAACAATTCCATTGGTGTACTTTTGGATTTCCCTTTAGCATGTTATGTTCGACTCGTCCTGCCATAAGGATGGAACTGCCCCGACATGTATGAAACATAGTTGCCAAAGTCATTTTTTTGCTTTATTTTATACAATACAAGAAATTCCATACATGTCTTGACATGATTCTGCGTATAATTCTAATGACAATGCAAACAGAATGATCACAAGTCCACCGTGTAAATCCTTGGCACTTTTTTTCCAGGTGACATATAATACAATTCTGAGGGCTCGTAGTAGATACGGTTCTGTGAGCGAAGTGCAACAATGCCTGGCTATATACCGGGACATGCGGAATGCGGGGTATACCAGCACATGTTTGGGTTGTCATGAACAAGTACATTTTGCTAATTATGATTTATTTTGCAGTTACAAATCTAATGATCGTTTCCTAGAGCAACTGATTGAGGAGTGGTGTGAAGGAGTTATACAAGACAGCAATGCCAAACAAGGAGAGTTCAGTTCCCACGACAAAACTGACATAGGGAGACCTGGAAGTCTGCTGCTTGAAAAAGTTGCAGAACACTTGCAAAAACGTACTGCCGAAACCTTAGCAGTTGACCTTCAAGGACTGACAAAGGTATTCTCATGTACCAGCCAATTTATATTCTTCGCAATCTCGGTGAACATGTTATTATGTGATTTCGTTTGTGCATTTTTTTAAATAGGATTCATTTCTTTGTTCTCATGCTAATACGTTCTTAAATTGCTGCAATAATTGTTGACAGGTTGAAGCTCGGATTGTTCTTCTTGCAGTTCTACGAATGATCAAAGAGAACTACAGCTCAGGTATGAAAGGATTGGGCATTCATTTATTCTTTCTGATTTTGGATAGGGTAAAAATCAGTCTTGAATTACATTAGCGAATGAGAAATGGAAGAAGAAACGTAGGATCCAGAGTTTCGAACTTTCAGCATGCTGATGCTAAGACTTGTTTATGATTTGCAGGGCATTCAGTAAAAGAAGACATGCTGATTGTTGTAGGAGTCCACGATGTTGATGGAGGCTCAACTACACAGAATTTAGAGGTGAAAGATGCAATAACGAAACTTCTGCGGGATGAATTGGGGCTCAAGGTTCTTGCAACAGTACCTAAAACGGGACTTGATACGACAATAGAACCGGAGAACATTACTGATTCAGATCAAGAGTCAGAAGAGATGACAAGTAGGACCGAATTAACGACTGACTTGATATATTCCACCAGACGACCCGTTGCACTAGAAAGGCTAAAGGTAACCAGGGGATCGTTGCTACAGTGGCTGCGGAAAAGAAGTGCCCCTAGAAGGTGACTGCTTCAATTTATGAATTCAAACTTGTACATGTTACTATAACAACCAATAATTATTCTTTTTTACTTGTGTATACTGGTACCGCTGAATAAGCCTGTATTGTACTGGTATCGCATGTAAATTATACACAACGGGCAGATGTAATCCGCAGAAGCAATGAAATAAGCTTTTTATCCTTCATTCCGTTATATTCCTTTAGTTTTCTTCGTGTCCTTGAACTAAAGAAATCTTGTTGACTAATAAGAGTATAGTTACTCAACCACTTAGATACAACAACACGGCCACAAGAAAAATGAGCAAAATATCCACGGGAAACAAAGTCACAAATTCAAAAGATATTACACCGTTACAAACTAATGTCAAAGTAAATTCATGACTTGCTATAAAACAAATGCTACCCGGGGCTCATATCCAATCCTGCTCCTGCAGTTTTAGTGGCAAATAAACCTGAGCCAGATACTGAAAGCTGAATGCGCTCAGAGCCTGAATTTCTGCCTTTTGCTTGGTTTTCACCATGAGATCTCCTCAACCCATTTAGGATTCTTCTCCACAAAATCTTCCTCCAGCATTTCCTTCCCTGTTTTAATATCGTGATCTGTCATCGTCAACCTACACTGCTCCGGAATTTTGTACTTGTTCAAATCACTCGGCCATATCCCAACCATTTTATATCTGGTGTGGTCAAATTCGCAGTGTCATATGACATGTTCTTCGACCACTTCAACCCGTACGGATCACTTTCCACAAGAGCCAGCACCGGTGGCTTCAGTTCCAGCTTCACCTTGCTTAAAAAGAGTGGTGGCTACATTTGGCTCCCCCTTTACATCCAGGATAATACATGGAATTCTATTGTAAAACTGATCCTCCGACAATCGAATAAAAGCAGCATCCTTCTCAACCAACAATATAAAAAATGCATCACTCTGCACATCATTCTACATCCACAGACTCCTGGCCAAATAAAAAATTGGTTACCCTGGCCATTCATTAATCAACTGCAAGTCTGCAATAGATAGAAGAAGGGAGACGATTTTCAGCTCGATCGCTCAACCCGAATTTAATCTGCAATAGAATTTATATATGAATACCATTGTTTACCTTTGAAATTCAGGACAACCAAAATCATTGAAACGCTTCAAACTCGTTGGAAAACTGCGGCAAATGAATGTCTCCAGGATGACATGTGCATTGTGACATTGGCAATGAAAATCTGAGACTTGATTCAATTGCTTCCTGACCCAAATTAAGACCATGCTGATGCCCTTGAAATCAAATAGCTGCCTCAGTTAGTACTTCTCATCGGGTGGTTGGCAGTCACAATTTGAATTCAGATGTTATAATATGAAAAAGGTATTTAACACATACCATACTCGAAAATGATTGAAAATTAGCTAAGGCGGATAAGAGACATACCTTGTGACCGTATAAGATGTTCCTTTCACCAAGGACCTGCAACTAGATTACAATTCCACCGTGCTGCTTGTCAGACAAACAATTTCACACGCATACGTAAAATTGGCGCTATAATTGTAGCTAAAACAAAAAAACAGTAACAGAAGTTTAATTACTACTTGTAAAATTTCTGGTGATGTTACATATTACATACAACATATAGTACTTGTAGTAAACCGGATAAACAGTGTCCTGTTCAAAAGAAAGTTTCAGTCTTGTCAATAACCCTCCTTGTCTAACTGTATCATCTTAATACCCGCCCAGAACGTGAAGTAATCAATTCTCCAAACTTTTACACTTGCAAAAGGAAAAAAAAAAAGAGCTACCTGCCTCAACATTCGCTTGGACTGCCTTGAAGGTTCCATTCATAATCCCCTAAAATCCGATTTGATTAGTTCCCCTTGATGGCTAAAAGTTGCTTTGTAGTATACAACGGAACCAAGTCCTCAATACAGCCACCAAAATCCCCTGACACGAAAAGATGTGAAAAGAATAAGGAAGAGTTAGTCCGAGGCTCCCCGTCAATTCTTAAATCTGGAAGTGGAAAACTAACTTTCTAATAAAAACATATTTAATGAACTGCATGCAGTTTGTGTTGCCATACATATATAGGTGCATCCCTTTTCAGCTTGGTAGCTTATATGCAATGTAATTGATGCCACAGTTGTAAGTATCATAGCGATTATCTAAGACTTTTCTTTGTTCACTTCCAGAGCAGAATCAAGACTGCCTGCGTTTGAAATGAATTAACTGCCTCGATTACTTTTCATCTTGTGTTTAGAAAGTGTCACAAGCCACAGATTCAATGAAGCTGTGCTAATGTGGAAAATAAATCCAATCGTTCCATACCTAATAGAGCTAATTATGTTCAATAACACAGCCTTCCTTCCCCTTTCACATTTGTTTTCGCATTCAAATTTTGGTCGTAGAATTTATTTCAAACTCCAATTAAAAGTGAAAAAAAATCAGTCAAAAACATAGCTACCTTAGAAAAAATTTGGAAAAATATGAGGCCTGAATGTATTTTCCAAAAAGTTATAAAAATTTATGGTTGGTGGGATGATAAACCAGAAGCCTATGTAAAACAGTAAAAGTAATGGAGAAATGTTCCGATCAAAAGAGAGAAGCTTACCCAAAATCTGATTTAATGCAACTTCAAGCAGTTGGGAATTGCTTGTCCTAATAAAAATAGAGAAACGTTCCGACTCCCAGCCATCACCTGTCCCCAGGAACTAATAAAAAAATACAACTTCGGTCAGAGTTGAGAAAACGTGATAGGAATAAAAAGCTCAGTTCTGTTCTTAGAATGTTTACAAAGAAAAAAAGGGTACCCTTAGAAAATGACTGACTTGAGTTGAATAACGTAGCAATCAGATTAACAGGGACTCCAATCTACAGATTCAAACATAATATGTAAAGATTAACTAAAATGGGCAGAGAAGAGAACAATCAAAAGAGATGTGAGGACATTATTGGAATAGGTACTTAACCAGATGCATATCAGAATTTGGCCTTAAAGAGCCATAAATTCAATAACACATTAATCAAAATTCAGTTCCAAAAAGAACAGTAGTTTAGAGAATTGAAGAATTGAAGAAAAGGTGTTGTACTTGAGTTCATGAAACTGGTGTAGAAGAGAGAGATTATCAGTCATTGCCTTCTCTGCAAAACTCAGAAACCTTCCCAGCTGAACCCTCAAGCTTTTGGCGGGTACTACTCTGCAAAAACAAAAGCAGGAAAATTTAATAATTTCAGATTCGGTCATAACCCACCAAATTATTTTAAAATCACAAACAAACAAGGGAAGAAAATAATGAGTTAAGTGGGACAAACAATAAAGAAGGGAGAATCCACTTTACCAACGAGGTCCAGGCGTCGGAGATGTTCCTGGGTTTGAAGAGTTATACGGAAAAGCAACTGCAAATATACAAACAGAGGGAATTTGAGGTTTGTAGTTCATCTACTCAGCAATTTATTACCATTGATACACCTGAGTAGTGAGAGAGCTTCAGATAATACTACTCAATTCCACAGGTAATTATACACTATAATCATATAATTTCTCACAATAAAAATCAATGCGACTAAAAGCAAATGGTATATATCAACTTTGATGATTTCTCTTATTTTCCCTCTCTTTCTCAGCAACCAAACAGCAATCGAAAATTACCAAAAACTGAAAAGATTGAAGTACCTGGGCCAGTTACAATGTCTGGGTTGCCATCTCCACTTGGTGTAAAAAATCAGGGCGGGCATTTTCGGAGCACCGAAACCCTTCATCCACAAACCACAATGTAAGTAAAAAATCAACAAAATAATTTGTGATTGCATTAATCCGTTGAAAAAAAAAATGCTGGACTGCAGCAGCCCAACCCGCCTGTTTTGCAGATATGAGACAGAGACAGATGAGAGGAATTAATGCAAAACCGAGCCCAACACCCGTGAGAGCTGATCCCAGGCCCAAATGCAGCAGCCCGCCTGTTTTGGGTGAAGCACAGCCCACACACACGAGAAATTTTTCATTGTGATTGGAACACGGGTGGTATACCACGTGTTTTTATATAAGTGGTGAAAATTTTTATTTTTAAGTTATTAATTTTTTAACACAAATATCACACTATTTGAATAGTGACACGTGATGTACCATCTCGTGTTCCGGTCACACTAAAAAATCTCTCCACACACCATGGCACAACCGTAATTAATGCAAATTCGTATCCCAATTTCATAAGCAATATGAATACTTGAGTTTCAATCCCAACTTTAGACTTAAGTAGTATGCATCTGGATAAATCTAATCAAAAGAGAGAAGCTTACCATGAATCTGGTCCAATGCAACTTCAAACAATTGGGAATTGCCGTTACTCACCATGGGCGCCAAACCAAAATGCTGTCTGAAGGGACAAATAAAAAAATAACAACTTTGGTGAATGCCAGAGTTCACAAAAAATGTTAAGAAAGATCAGTTCTTTTCTTACAAGGTTTAGGAAGAAAAAAAAATGACTGACTTGAGCTGAATAATTTAACAATCAACTCATTCAGAGACACTTTATAAGATTACTGAATTGGGGTTCACATTACTTAGTAAACTATAGATTTAAACATAATATGTCAGCACTTGCTCATAGTTCTAACTAATTGACTATAACAAACGGTACCTTGAAAAACATTACAAATACACATGTATGAATATGAAGAACACTTCAAAACTTATACACGAATATTTTTTTTAATTTTTTTTTTTGAGCAAAAAATTATATCATATCTTTATTTCAATAACTGACTGATTAACTAAAGTTGGCAAAGAAGAAAACAGTCAAAAGAGATGTGAGAACATGATTGGAATAGGCACTTAACCATATGCATATCATAACGTAAATATATCTTATCACAATTTTGTACTGGGGATTGAAATTTACCATGTACATTAAATTGTAGTTTCAGGAAAACGAAACAGAAACATACATACCACATAACAAGTGATTCACTTTAATGAAAAAGTAAGGGAAGAAAATAGAATACATTGTGTGTAATTGATTTAAGAACCGTAAAAGAAAAAACATACCAATATTTGGAATATGAGAAATCTTGTGCCATTCTGGGCCGCTCTCCTTGTTGTATCTCTCTTTTAGAATGGGACAACGAGTAATGTATACTCCTTTTAATTTGGTGAGGCATTTCATAGCTTCAGCTGTAGGTAGATACTTCAGATTCTTGCAGGTCTGTATCCTTAGGAACTGAAGAGCTGCAAGGTTCCCCAACCACTCCGGAAGAGCCTCCATTCCATCAAATTTTATTATTTGCAAATCACGTACAGAAGTCAAGTGTTGAACTTGTTCAGGCAGAGACCGAAGCTTAGGCCAACCCCGCAACTTTAATGATTCAAGTTGTGGAGTAACCTCAAAAGGAGGGAATGAATCGAGCTCCTTCCAAAACCCACCAATTTCCAATTTCTTCAAGCTGGTGAGGGTTTTTAACTCACTGGGCAGGTACCCATGACAATCAACTATCTCCAACTCACGGAGGTGTGTGAGGTTTTCTAAACCAGGAATAGATCCTAGACTCTTGCAAAAATCTATATGCAGAGAGTGGAGGGATGGTGGGAGGCTGTGAGTCCCAGTTAATGTTAGCTTCTCACAATCAGATATTGTCAAATCCTGAAGAGAGGTACAATATTCTAACCCACTCGGTAGGATTGATAATTCGCGACAATTGCGAATATCCAATTTACAGAGAGATGGGAGGCCCTGTTCAAATGGAATGGACTCTAGACTCTTGCAATCCCGTATCAACAGAGAGTGGAGGGATGGTGGGAGGCTGAGAATCCCAGTTGATGTTAGCTTCTCAAAACCAGATATTGTCAAAAACTGAAGAGAGGTACAATATTCTAACCCACTCGGTAGGATTGATAATTCGGGACTATTGCGAATCGCCAATTTACAGAGAGATGGGAGGCCCTGTTCAAATGGAATGGACTGTATACTCTTGCAAGCTTCTATCTCCAGAGAGTGGAGGGATGGTGGGAGGCTGAGAATCCCAGTTGATGTTAGCTTCTCAAAACCAGATATTGTCAAAAACTGAAGAGAGGTACAATATTCTAACCCACTCAGTAGGATTGATAATTCGGGACAATTGCGAATAGCCAATTTACAGAGAGATGGGAGGCCCTGTTCAAATGGAATGGACTGTAGACTCTTGCAAGCTTCTATCTCCAGAGAGTGGAGGGATGGTGGGAGGCTGTGAATCCCAGTTGATGTTAGCTTCTCACAATAAGATATTGACAAATGCTGAAGAGAGGTACAATATTCTAACCCACTCGATAGGATTGATAATTCGGGACAATTGCGAATATCCAATTTACAGAGAGATGGGAGGCCCTGTTCAAATGGAATGGACTCTAGACTCTTGCAATCCCATATCAACAGAGAGTGGAGGGATGGTGGGAGGCTGTGAATCCCAGCTGACGTTAGCTTCTCACAATCATATATTGTCAAATCCTGAAGAGAGGTGCAATATTCTAACCCACTCGGTAGGATTGATAATTCGGGACACTCGCGAATATGCAATTTACAGAGAGATGGGAGGCCCTGTTCAAATGGAATGGACTGTAGACTCTTGCAAGCTTCTATCTCTAGAGAGTGGAGGGATGGTGGGAGGCTGTGAATCCCAGTTGATGTTAGCTTCTCACAATAAGATATTGACAAATCCTGAAGAGAGGTACAATATTCTAACCCACTCGATAGGATTGATAATTCGGGACAATTGCAAATATCCAATTTACAGAGAGATGGGAGGCCCTGTTCAAATGGAATGGACGTCAGCTTGGAGCAAGAATCTATGGTTAACTTACTAAGGGAAGTGAGACCGTGCATGTCTGGAATGAGCTCTAGACTCTTGCAATGCCTTATAGTCAACTCCTCAAGAGAGACAAGAGTTTGCAGCCCATCAGGCAGGCACCTAAGATTAACACACTTGGAAATAAACACGGACTGAAGAGAAGCACAACAACCAAATACATCATCCGTAGTAATACAAGTTAAATCCTTACATTTTCTTATCTCCAAATACGCAAGATTCTTGTTGTTTTTTAACACCCCTTCTGGCAGACAATCAAGTCCCTTTATACTTCTTATTTTGAGAGAAGTAAGAGTGGTCAGGTTGCTGCTTATATTTGCTAATGGCATGCCGCTACCCATGGATTCTATCTCTAAATTTTTCAGAGATGGAAAATGACTGGGAGCACTTCTTAATTGATCGCAGTTGGTCAGAGACAGCTCCTCGAGGCATGGAAAGAGCACAATGTTTTCTGCTGCTTCCGCCCATTCAATTAGATTCTTAGGTTCAACGATACGTAATCTTTTTAATGAAGGAAAGGGACTCCCCATCATCCAGGATGCAAATTTCTCACCCATAAAGTTGTCAATCCCTAAAAATTCCAATTTAGGGAGTGGTGGTCCAAGGCCTTCTAGTACATCCTCATCATTAATGTTGATCATAGACCTGTATTTATCCCATCCAAAGACTAATCCACGCAGATTTGTCTTCTCTGCTAGTTTTGCTTTCTTTGCTTCCTCTCCATCTCTCACATGCTCTAGACAATAAATACTTAAACGACCTTTCAATTGCTTTAAGCCAGCCAACTCCTCTATTCGACGACCTCTCTCCTTACCCACATTGAAAAAACGTAAATATTGGAGATTAGTCAAACGCCCAATCCCAATTGGATATGTTTGAGGACTACCAACGAATTTAGAACCAAATTCAAAATGTCTCAAGTTGATCAAATTTTGCAGCTTCTTTGGAAAACTTTCGACAGAGGACATCTTCAACGTCTGTAGATTATAAAGCTTGCAAATAGATTTGGGGAGCTTTATGATACCTGTACGGGAAACATCGAGATACCTCAAGCATTTCAACTTTTCAATTGAAACTGGCAACTCAGGGATTTTAACATTGCACATTTTTAAGACGCGCAAACCTTTAAATCTTGAGAAGATGCCACCAAGTATATCACCATTCAAACCTCCGTTTGGAATTACATGCAGTGCCGAGGTAGAGAGCTTTTCCATGTGTTTCTCAATGGAGTTCTTGCTCTGTGATTTTGACACATGTTCTGCAAGATCGTGCACAAGATCGTGCATCTTGCAACCGTAAACAGTATTTCCTTCCATTTCAACATCTTGAAAAAAGGAGTTCTCCAATAGAATATTAAAATATTCATACCCTACATCCTCCATGCTTTTGTTGGGAAAAGGTTGGAGCAATCCTTGAGCCATCCAAAGTTGGATTAAATCCTCCTTCTCAATAATATCATCTTTGACGAACATTGAACAGTATGCAAAACATTGTTTCAAAGATGGTGATCTCAATTCATCAAAGCTCAACTTCAAAACTGAAATGATTCTTTTTTCTCCTTCTGGCAAATTCCATATTGTACTTTCTTGAATTGACTGCCATCCATCACTCAGCTTACAACGCATCATATTTCCCAATACCTATTGGAACACGAGTTTGAATGTCTATCAACTGAGAATTCATAGGCTAAAAATTAACGACATGCAATAAGTATTTTAACTGATCACTGGCATATTCTGAAAAAACAAATAGAAATATCATCCAATGAGGTCTTAGATATGATTCGTGGGAGCTCCATGTAAGTGTTCTACTTCTAATGTGAATGAGACCAAACTATGTTTGGGGTATATGTATTTTGGTATACAAGTAATTGAACATATATTAAGAGAGGAGAATACCAAAGTTGGAACTCAATTCTATAGGTACGAACTGGTATCAATTAGGGTTTAATCCTGACTAGTGAAGCATGGTTGAATGATTTTATTGGTTTCGATAGTGCTCATATGTATTATGCTTTCATTTCGTTCATTTCATGAACAAACAATTAGAATAAGAATAGAAAACATGCAACTTTAAAAAAACTAATAAACGTAAATACCTTTGCCATCAATGGTACACCTGCACATTTTTTGGCAATTTCCCTTCCCATTCGCTCTTGATCTTGGGTCACGGAAGCACTCCCATTCGGAAATGCCTTATCCTTTAATATGCGCCAACATTCGTCATCCGATAATTTTTCCAAATCACGCCCGGGAAGTGTTTCCACAATTGATGCAACACCAGCACTGCGGGTAGTGACAAGGATGCTGCTTCCTTGGGTATCTTCAACACTTGACAAACAACTCATCAAATCATTCCATTGATCAGAATCATCATTCCAAACATCATCGAGAATGAGAAGATATCGCTTTCCTTTCAAATCTTCTTGGAGATTTTCACATATTGTTGCTTTACCCTTAATCCCAGCCTTTTCCGGTTTAATCTTTTCTAAGATCCCGCTTAAAATCGCCTTGACTTCGAAAGGAGTAGATACACATATCCATATTTTTGTATCGAACCGTCTTTCTATCTCGGGATGATGATAAACTGATTTAGCCAAAGTTGTCTTGCCCAGGCCTCCCATTCCCACAATCGCCATAACCGAAATAGAATTCTCCTTATTGTTGCTGGAATTTATCAGGGTTGTAACTATCTCCGACACAGCCTCCTCCCTTCCAACAATGTACTTCTCATCTCCATTAAAGACGGAGACGGTTTCCCTGTCACCATGAGGCGTTGCATCCACGAGTGTTGAGAATGTCGGCCTAACTAGCTCAAAACCAGCTGCCTTAGTCATCAGATTCGCCAAAGATGCATTGATTTTCTTGATTTTGCGTCCCATATTGTGACGAAACGCAATGGGATTGTGGTGTGAAAAGAAGTTGAGCACCTTTTTCTCCATTCGGTTTCCAAGTTCCACCTGACGCCGAAGAACTTCGTATCCGTATTCGTCCAGCACTTCATCAGCATCTTGAGCTACATCTTCAAGATCCTTCACCCACATTTGCACCGCTTCGCCCCGAAACTGCGAATGCTGGGCTGCCTCTCGCAGCATAGCTTGAATATCGGACAATGATCGCTTCAGCTTTGCTACTTCTCCTTTGAATCCCCAGAGGAGACTGAATTCTTGCTTGGCTAGTGAAGCCACCCTAGCCAGTATTCCCTCGGCAGCAAAAGTAACAAGCTCTGCCATCTTTCCTAACAAACTGTTGAACTCAAAGAAGACTGAATAATCTCAGTTGAGAAAAACCAACAAGAAGTATGGCCCCTGAGTCTTGAAGGTTGTTTACAACATGGAATTATTGAATTGAATATCTGCGGGCGAGTCTTAGCCTACCATGTGAACGCACATGCTTCATCGGCCCCACAGGCTTGAGCACCAGGTCCACAGAATTATTACAACATGGAATTATTGCATTGAATAATTGTAGCCACGAGTTTTATTTTTATTGGTTGGTACATATATGACGTGGAGTACCGAGAACCTGAAAAAATTTATCAGGGGCTGTCGGCAGAGCTGACGTCAGGCAGTTGTGGCTCAGGGCGCAGTTCAGAGGCACGAGCTGAACCAAAAAGAACAAAGTAAGTAGAATCTTTATATATAAAGCCAAGTCTGTTCATACCCACTTGGACTACACGCCCAAAAGTGATAAATATAGGATAACTTTTACTTTATATAAAATCAAAACAATTGCGGTACTTCTCACTTTATTGTTCTCAAATATAACGAAAATTTGCACTTTATCATTTTAATTTTTTTTTGTCTTGCTTTTATACCTAAAATTACGATGTGCTTTCAAAATCATGCTTCCATTAGCCTATCTATTAGGTTCTCTGTTATATAATAACATGACAGCCCTTTAGCCCATCAAAAAATTTAACATTATTAAAAAATTATAAATCCTATTTTTATTACTCAAAATAATCATAAATATTTGAAAAAGTTAATAATCATAAACATTCTCTTGGACTACCTTGAAGATTCCGTTCAACACTGACCTAATCCGTCGAATCTCATATTGTCCTATAGATATTACAGACTATTGCTATCCGATAGCTTACTTTTGATGGCTAAAATTTGCTTTGTAATCAATAACTATTCTAACACTTATTTTAGCACTCAATAACTCTCCGGACACTCTTATTACATCTTAACTCTGTTTGTCTCTTTTCTTTGTGAGCGTCGTTTTTTTTTTGTTTTTTTTTTTTTTTCAATTCAATTAGCTGTGAAATTTGTTCTCACAGCGGTGGTGGCAACAATGATGGTGGCAGTGATGGTGTAATGTTAATGTATATAGTGATAGGTAGTTACAGTTATTTTGTTCTCCTAAGAGATAAAATGTGTGGAGAATGATAAGTAATGTAATTTTAAAAAAACTCCTGAGAGTATTATATAAATTGAAAATATTCATTAAAGACTAAACTCCATTTTTTATAAAATCAGTTTTAAAAGCAATCTACATGTTACGAAAAACTTCTGTCCCATAATCTTACTGCAAAGGAATAAGGAAGAGTTGGTCTGAGTCCATCGTAGTTCTTCAAACTGCCGCAAGAGGATGTAACATTCCCAATGAAAATCTGAGACTTTTCTTTGTTCGCCTTCTGCCCAGAACCAAAGACTGCATGCGTTTCAAATAAATCCGAACGTCCCATGGTCATGAAGGTGGTTTAAAATTTCAGTAGTCTCTGCTTTTTGGTTGTGAGCGAGTCTTGGCCAACCATGTGAACTCACATGCTTCATCGGCCCCACAGGCTAGAGTACTTGGTCCACTGAATTATTACAACATGAAATTATTGCATTGAATAATTGTGGGTTGGCCCCAGCACGTGGGTTGTCAGCACAGGAGGTCCAGGGCCTGTCAGCTGGGCTGACGTCAGGACGGTGTGGTGCAGGGCCCGGCTCAGAGGCGCCGAGCTAAGAGAGCAGAGGCGCTGTTCAGAGGCGTTGGGCTATGATTTTATCTTTGGTGTGAGAAAGTCCTACAAAGAAGGTTTCTGGCAAAAAGATGATATGTTTAGACCCTCGGGACACCTTTGTCATAACATAAAACATTTCGACAAAAAAAAATTTAAATTTTGACACCAAATTTTTTTTTAAACGTAATTATAATGGTTTCATTTGATTCATCATCATCCCCGACGTTATACGGACGCGCTTGAAATGGAGATGATGGAAACTTTCCTTGTTCGGCCACTTCACTAAATTTTTTGTAATCTCCCAACAATGATACATGCAAAAAAATATTTCCTTCCTTCTCATGATACATTTTTTGGTTGTGGTGAGTCTTAGCCTTAAGCAATGGTTTTTGGTTTGTAGAATATTTTTTTTCAAAGCGCAAGCACAAAAATTTTGAATCATATAAATACCAGCACATCAACTATACAGAAAAAGAAAAAGCTAAAGATGACTCAATCATTTCCTTTTCTTATCATTGAAAGATGTTCATAATCTCCAAAATAAAAATAAAAAGCTAAAGCTAAAGTTAAGTCTAAAGGAAAAGCATTCCACTCTGCCTAATTCAAGGATGCTCTTTGAAAGGGTAATAAATAAAGCTAAAGCTAAAGTTAAGTCTAAAGGAAAAGCATTCCACTCTGTCTATTTCAAAGATGCTCTTTGAAAGGGTAATGAATAAAGCTAAAGCTAAAGTTAAAGCCAAAGGAAATAAATCGAGATAAAGCTAAAGCTAAAGTTAAAGAAAAAGCATTTCCCCCTGTAATTTTTAATTAAAAATGCTCTGTGATTTCTCCTCCTCAAAATATTCTTTTACAAGGGAAATCCGTTGTTCTTGTTTATCAAGGTTTAATTGCTTGGAGTAAGAAAATTGCTTAAGTTCTGACATACTAAAGGCATAAAATGAACCAAATCTTACACTCCCCCACCTCCTTAATGTAAATAATATCACTTATTCAAAAAAAAAAAAAACGTTAAGTGATTATGTAATTCGATGATTAATAGCAGTTAAATATATCATTTGACGCCATTTCCCCTTTTTTATTTAAAAAAAAAAAAGACAACGGGTGGCAAGCTATAGTTATCCATCCATTCCGAGATCCAGAAGACTCACAGAGGCATTTCAGCCCCTCCCTAACCACAATCAAGCAAACTCGCTAATTTGGAACCGCGAACCGAGACCTCTTTTTTTTTCGTATTTTGAGAGCCGGAAGACACCATTTCTCCTTTAGTAAACATGCTATGCTATAAGTTGCTTGAGCTAATTCCATTTTTCTTTTTTTTTTTTTGTATTTTGGTAGCCGGAAGACGCCATTTCCCCTTTAGTAAACATGCTATGCTATCAGTTGCTTGAGCGAATTCGGTTCTTAAAATAACACATTTGGTTTCTTTAATAAGTTAAAAGAAAACATTAAAAACCTATGCCCTAAAAAAATGTCTTCAAACTCCAAGAGCTACTTGTTATGTTTTTATTTTATATTTTTTGGTAAAAAGTTACGTGTTCGTATACATTATCCTAGGTTCTCAGACCCTCCTTTTTTCACATCTTCAAAAGGATATCTCTTCAAACAAGCACCGGGGCGTTCGTATGAATCCACATTTAGCTATATAAACGAAGACTAAACAGAATTCAAAATCCATGCTGCTTTCAGGATGCCATCGATACCTGGATCATCTCCGGCATCTTTGTCATTTTCAAATGATAACCAAAACAACATGTTACAAGTCTAGCCCTGAGATTTGAGGGTCCTGTGCGAAAGTGAATTGGAGGCCCTAAAAAACATTAAGAATTTTATTTTTTTTGTTCAAAAAAAATAATTTTAGTTTTCAATTGAACTTCTATAAATTCTAACAACACAAACAAATTTAACAAATCAACAAGTGGAAAGGTGGCGTATTGTTTTTTTTTAATTATTTCGAGGGTCAAGGTTCAAATTTTCATGTTATTGTGTGGAATTTTTATATTATTTTGTGGAAGCTTATGCATTTAATAAAAATAAACTGAAAAGATGATGGAGACGAGTTTTGAACGCATTTCCTAGGCTGCTGTAAAGAAGCAATAATACCACTTGTGCTAAGACTCAAGTTTGTAATATTCTACACATACTATTATATATACGTAAATGTATGCAAATTTGAAAAATCGAGAGCCTTTCCGATTTGAGGCCTTATGCGGTGGCATCTATTGCACCTCCTCAGGGCCGGCACTAAGTCACGAGTAAGTTCCTGACTTGTATTGAGAAAGAAGAAATCTTTCATTCTCTACGACACATCAAGTCATTTGTGATTTGAAAAACTATATGTACTTCCCTCTATTCTATTTTCCTAATCAAAATGGATTCTCTTCAACTGGAACTAGTTATTCCTAGATGATGATCAATCGGAACAAGGTTATTAATTCCCATTCAGACAGATACCCAGGAGACTTACCTTGTGAATGTACAAGATATTACTTTTCCCGCACCCCACAACTATAATTTCACCTTGCTGCCGGCCAAAGAAACAATGTCACAATTGTGGACATCCCAATATTGTACATACATGATACTCGTAGTTATAAGATTGTTAAACGAAAATATATACCAGCCGCCTCTGGCCAGAGTGTCCTGTAATCCTGTTCGAAAGAAAGCTTCCAGTCTTGTCCATAACCCTCCATGTAAAATTGCATTATCTGTAGACCTGCCTGGGATGTGGTGGAAGCAACTTATATGAGAAGTCCTACTTTCTGTATGCACTGTCAAATTAATAAAAGAGAACATACAATGTTTCTTACATACTTTTGGAGTAAGTGTGGTCGAGACCCAGATAAACAAATCTTAATGCCTCATACGAGTCGCCTGGGATTTGCTACTGAGCCTTAATCAACCAGGCTTACTTCACAATCTGGTACAAGCTACATAAATCAAAATGATAAGAAATGTTCTTCAGTACTTTTCCTTTGGCAGACCTTAATTATTACATGTCACAGAAGGCAAACAATTTTTTACAGTTACCCTGCTAGTCCACAGATGGCAGATTGAATGCATAGGCTAATAAAAAATCTGAGGACATGGCATCATCACCCACCTTATAAATTCAACAATTAAGATTACATTCTGATCCCCTGAAATCCGAGCTTGTTTGGACCGATTGCACAACAGTTCCTCCAGTTGAGTGAAATCCATCCTAGAAAGCCACCTCCGAATTATGCTAACAGAATAAACGATGCCTCTGCAGAAACGACATTATGAGCGAAGCTATAAACTATGAAACCCGTAAACTTTAAGCAATTGGGAAGTGCTCGTACGCTTATAATTAAAATGAACATAATTTTCCATAAACAGTACTTCAACTCCAACAGCACCTGTCTCGGGAAACAACAAACAACTTTGATCAATATCAGAGGCGGAAAAAAAGATCATGTTTTGTCCATTTTGGAGATGCTTGAAAGTTTAAAATAGAAGTCGTACCTTTAAACGAGTGGCTGAATTGAATAAGATTTACATCAACCATGCACACGACTTTGAAGTATTTGGGGACAAGTCTTGTGTCTGGCTAGTATGGTTGGTAGTCAACTAAAATGAGCAAAGAGAGCATATCTTAATTATCAGGTTATCATATGATTTATAAATATGACAAGGCAGTAAATCGTAGAATGCAAGAGAAAACTAAACTGAAATGCGAGAGAAAAAAGTAGAATGCAAGAGGAAAGAAAAAACTACCGGTGATCTTTGCGATATGTGAAATCTTGGGCCATTCTGGGCCGCTCTCCTTGTTGCATCTCTCTTTTAGAAGGGGACAACCAAAAATTTGTATCTCATTTAATTTGGTGAGACGTTAGCTTCAGCGACAGGTAGATACATCAGATTCTTGCAACTCTCTGTACTCAGGAACTTAAGAGATGCAAGGTTACCCAACCACTCAGGAAGAGCCTCCAAGCCGTCAAAGGAATATATAACCAAATGTGTTAAAGAAGTGAAGTGTTGAACTTGTTCAGGTAGAGACTTGAGCTTAGGCCAGCCCCACAAGCTTAATCTTTCAAGTTGTGACATAACCTGAAAAGGAGGGAATGAATCGAGCTCCTTCCCGAACCCACCAATTTTCAATACATTCAAGTGGGCGAGGCTGCATTGTGAAGATGTTGCTAACCCACCAGGTAAACTTTTTAGTCCATCACAATCATATATAACCAACTCACGGAGGTGCGTGAGGCTTTCTAAACTTGGAGTAGTTTCTAGATTTGAGCAACTGCGTATTGTGAGATTCTCAAGAGAGGCAAACGGTTGTAGCCCATCTGGAAAATGCTTCAAACTGTTACAACAACTGATATGCAGTTCACGGAGGGATGTGCAGCCTTGTAAAGAACTTGGAATCGACTCTAGACTCCTGCAATACTTTATCGACAACTTCCGGAGAGATGGGAGGCTATAAATTTGAATCAAGGTGAGTTTATAGCAAGACGATATTGTCAGCTTTTGAAGAGAGGTACAAAATTCCAACCCCCTGGGTAGGCTTGATAATTCAGGACAATATCTAATATGCAACGCACCGAGAGATGGGAGGCCTTGTGTGATTGGAATTGTGGTTATTTTGGAGCAGTTTTGTATTTCCAATGTTTGAAGAGAGGTGCAGCAATCTAGCCCATTAGGTAGACTGGATAACTGAGGACAGTCAACAATGGACAATTTGCAAAGACAAGTGAGACCGTGTATAACTGGAATGAACTCTAGACTATCGCAACGCTCTATAGCTATCTTCTTAAGAGATAGAAGAGTGTGAAGCTCATCAGGCAAACATCTAAGATTATCACATGTAGAAATACGCAACGAATCAAGAGAGGCGCAACACCCATATACATCCGTAGCAATACAAGATAACTCTGGACAATCCTCTATCTCCAAACATGCAAGATTCTTGTTGTTTTTTAACACCCCTTCCAGCAGAGAATCGAGTCCCCTTATTTTCTTTAATGTGAGACACGTTATAGTGCTAAGGTTGGTGCTTTCCACGACCTTTTTCCTTACCCACGATGAAAATAGACAGTGATAAAAATAGGTAGTAAATTAAAAATATGCATAGAGAACTAGTCTAAGTTAGAAACTTTGGAATAATTGCAGATAGATTTCTCTGGCAATATTTGTCATTGCTTTCATGTCACATTGCTCAGGAGCAGTGTTTGTCTGTATATATTCTTTTTCAAAGCTTACCAAACTTTCTCGAACCATATTATAAAGAAAACATCCAGGAAGCTTCCCTGTAATTTGTGATTTGTTATTTTATTGTAAATAACTACCTCAAAATGTAGAACATCAACACATATTATAACATGTATACAAGTATAGCACTTGGCCGCGCTCCGGTGACATACAATAATTACACGACATATTTTTCCAAAGTCAACATTAGAGAAGGTAATCTTCAGGGAAGATGCTTTTTAAGTTCAGATTTTGACTATGACGATCATATGGCCAACGAGCAATATCGTTGTAAACAAGCTGAGCCAAACTCAATATTATTGTGCTAAAGTTCACCTAGTTGGCATTTTTAACAGGTACCCAAACTCGAACCTTTAATAAGCTTTGTTTAAATGGTCAACCTAAACTTACAAAAATGTAACATAAAATTCTATTTAAACATTGAATTCACCCACTTCGAAGAAAAATAAAACCTATTTGTGTGAAAAAAGCTCTACACCCACCAAAAACCCTAACCTAAGCTCAGAACTAACATTCCTCTTCACACGTATCACCCATCTTTTTTCTCCCAACAAAAGAAGAGCATTCTTCAAGAAAATTAATCCTTCGATCAGGAGACCGGGTTCTTGATTCCACATTGCTCCGTTATTTGTTCATCATTAAAGTTTTTGTTTTCTAATTTGTGTTCCAGAAGAACAATTTCATCTTTCTAGAATTAGATCCCTACTTCATGGACTGATCGGTACAACATTACAATATTCGCTATAACACGATTTTCCAGCGTATGTTTGGACAAGAGGTTTGCAAGTATCACGAGATTTAGAATAATTAGTTAGGAATGCACTGATTCGATGAGGAATTTGAAATGACTTGACATAGGATCCACGATCACTCAACAAAGGTAAAGACAACTAGAATTCACGAACCACAACATGCTTTGAGAATATCTTTGATATCTGGATCATCCCCAGCTTCTTTATCCTACTCCAACCGGAAAAAGAAATAACAAATTAGGAAAAACGACCTGACAACTATAACTTTTATAAGAAAACGTTTAAGAGCTCATTATCATGCTCTAATTCATTCTTAATTGTGAAATTCTTTTCGTGTTACAAAGTTTGGTGTTCTCTAAACAATTGAGTTTGCAGTGTTTTTGCCTAGAGTGTGATATTATCAAGTGGGGAGGAGAAAAAAGGGTGTTTATTAACATGAAATTCCTAAGTAGCACAAGTCGCTAGCATGAGAATCTAGAAGTCCGAAAATGCCATGAGCAAGAGTTCCTGTCTTAAAGGGAAAGGAAAGAGGAAATCTTTTAACGGATCTAATTGTAAATATTGATTCATTTTTACTCTGAAGAACATTTGAAAATCCCCTCGTTTCTGTTCTCCTAATCAAAGTGGAGTGTTTTATCAGCAAATACTGCCAGATTTCCTGGTGAAGTTTCAATCTGAACCGATTACTACCACGTGATTAACTCCCATTCAGACAGAAGGACGGAAAGACTAACCTTGTGAATGTACAAAATGTTACTTTTACCAGGGCCTGCAACTATTATTCCACCTTGCTGCCTGCCAGATAAACAAGAACGTAATAAAAGGTGAATCCTCCCATGATATATATATATATAACTTGTAGTAAGATATGGATATACAGATATACCAGCCGCCTCTGGCCACAGTGTCTTGTTCAAATGAAAGCTTCCAGTCTTGTCGATAACCTTCCATGTACAACTCTATTATCTTAAGACCAGCCTAGAATGTGGTGGAAGCAACTTAGATGAGAAGTCCCACTAGCTACCTTTATAAAAAACATGAAGGGTTTCTTACTTTGGGAGTGAATGTAGTTGTGACCCCAGAAACAAATCTTAACGCCTCATACGATGAGTGAGTGGGATCAGCGTAAACTTCTGAAATACAATAAAACAAAATAAAATTTTGTGACTCAGATGCCCTAAGGAGGAGAAAAAATGAACCCTTCAAGGTAGATAACACAAGCTCTCTTGGATTTACCTCCTTTGAATTTTGTTTGCTCAGAAAATGCTGTTGCCTACACGAATTAGCACTCATGGTTATAAACGGTCATTTCACTTAACAAATCAAAACAAGGAATAGATAACGAAACCTCAGAAAAAATTAACTCTCAACCAATGGCAGATGAATCAAATACAGTTTCTAAGGGCAAACCTGATCAGTGCTACCAGGTCCGATTAAAACAAGCGCCACACCAGATGCATCCATTATATCCTGTCAACATGAAAAGAAATGTCAAAATTGTGTTGCGACCAAAGAGATTTCAATGCAAGTGCAGAAACAATCGTCTAATATTCAATTGACGAAAAACTAAGGAGTGCGAAAATCGCTACCCAAAGGTAATTACGCACATCCTCCTCCTCAGGGAGGCTTCAGTGTATGCCTTGTGGAAATGGCAAAGTTCGCATTCAACAATTAAATTTAACACGTACTAATCTTTGATGGCAAGGAAGCTGCAAATTATATATAATGATCAATGAGTAAATACCTTCTTTGATGCAAGATAGTCAGCCCGCTTTCGGCAAAAGACACATCTGAAAATTAAACAACACTTTAATTCTCAACTAATACAGATTAACGATTGCTAATCAAACCTCAGTACGAAAAGAAATAGTTCAATTGGTAATAGAAACTCACCCGAAATGGCGCGCAAACGCGACGACAGCTGTCCTGTCCTTCCACAAATCCGATATCGGAATCCCGTTCCCGTTCAAATCAAACTACTTTCACCGTTTCCATTAAACTCGCCGCATCTTCACCGCTCAAAGAAGAGTCAATCCCTGCTCACGTCCGCACAGGATTATAATAGTTTTCTACTTCTAGATTTCTTGGAAACCAAACAGATTATTGAAAAGGAACACTTGCCGGGGGAGCCAGAGACGGCGGATGCTACGACGGCGGATTGGCGCGGTGAGAACTTGACGATTCCGTTGCAGCTGTTGACATTGAGGACGAAGCCGGACTTCAAATTCGAAGATTGCGCGGGGAATACACGTGGAGAACTGCGATTGGTGGTCCGATTAAGCTGGAGGGTGCTGGAGAAGAGCGTTGCAGAGAAAGTAACCGCCATAGTTTCTCAGAGAAGAAGCAGTCCAGGAAAGTGGCGACCTTTCGACCGTTGGTTTTATTTGTGGGAAATGAGAACACACGTGGCGATTCCTGAGCATTCCGTCCTACCATGGGTGTAGGAACGACAAGTCGTTTAGCCTAACAAGTTGGTTAAAAAACGACATCAGTCATTAGGGTTGACTGTTGAGCGGGCATAAAACCGAACGCTTTCCCAACAGCCAACTAACTTTCCCAGTCCCCTCCCATCACACCCTGCAAACTTCGCCAATTCAATGGCGGCCCTTACCCGCCTATCAAAACCCTCCTTCTCCTCCCTCTCCTCCCTCTCCTCCGTCTCCCGCATAAGCCGGTTCCTGTACTCAGGCGTCGCGCCGGATACCTCCTCTTACGGCGCCTCGTCTTACAACGCGCGCTTGGGGTCCACGCCCAATCTCGCGGTGAAGGACACCAAGGACCGCAGCGTGCAGTGGGTCTTCCTGGGCTCGCCGGGCGTCGGAAAAGGCACGTACGCCAGTCGGCTCTCGAATCTCCTCGGCGTTCCTCACATCGCCACCGGAGATCTCGTCCGCGAAGAGCTCGCTTCCTCCGGCCCTTTCTCCCAAGAGGTTTTTTATTCTTCTGATTGCTTACTTTTTTCGTCAGATCTGCATTTTTTTTTTTTTTTTGGGTTTTGATTTTCTGTGTTTGTTTTATTGTGGGTTGCAGTTATCGGAGATCGTGAACCAGGGGAAGTTGGTGTCTGATGAGATCATAATAAACTTGTTGTCGAAAAGATTGGAGGCTGGGGGAGCTAAAGGGGAACTGGGTTTTATTCTCGATGGCTTTCCTCGAACGATTCGACAAGCAGTAAGTGTTTCCGCATTCGAATGGTATAATGTGATTCAAAGTAGTATAAAAGATCTTAAATTTATAATTGAATGTGGTCGCGATCCAAGTTAAACGAATTTGATTGATCTCGATGAGCAATTGACTGAATGAAAGCTGATATCTTGGAATTGCGAATGTTACGTTGTATTGAATTGGTGGCAATGTGCTTGAGGATTGATTGTTTGTAACAATGTATGTGTAGGAAATATTGGAAGGGGTGACAGAGATTGATTTGGTGCTCAATCTGAAGCTCCGGGAAGATGTGCTGCTCGAGAAATGCCTTGGGAGGAGAACTTGTAGTCAGTGCGGGGGAAATTTTAATTTGGCGTCCATTAATGTCAAGGGCGCAAATGGACATCCTGCAATTAGCATGGCTCCACTTCTCCCCCCTGCACATTGTATGTCAAAGCTTGTTACTCGAGCGGATGATACCGAAGAAGTGATTAAACATCGGATTCACGTTTACAATGAGAAGGTATTGCTTTATTTTCCTGATGATTAGTCAGGGGCACATTTGAATAACATTTTTAAATGCTAAAGAGTCAATGAGGGATGAAAATAGAACATTTCTTTTCAATGTTATCTTCACTTCATTTTGATGATTTTATTTTTAATGGTTCTCCCAGAGTCGGCCTGTAGAGGAGTTTTACCGCAGTCGAGGGAAACTGTTGGAGTTTGATTTGCCAGGAGGGATCCCAGAGTCTTGGCCCAAGTTGCTTGAAGCTCTTAATCTCGATGATTACAAGGAGAAGCAGTCTGCTGCTGCATAAATTATTATATTGCACCTTTAAAAGGTGAACACGCCATTCTCTTGACGCCTAAGGTGCTAGCTAGGGTTTTGGACAATTTCAATTTTTTGGACTGTGTTTCTCATGGAGAGAATTCAGTTATATTGCATTGGGAGCGAAGCTTTCCATTATTATTGTTTAGTTGAGGGGACGATTTATTTACTAACAATTTTGGCAGCAATAAGCCCCGGTAAAGGAGGATGAGCATACTGTATTCTTGTAACGTATAAGAGATTAATGTAGGACATTGCGTCCTGTGGGGCTCAATAAATGGTTTTCATAACCCTCAAGTAAAACCTGTTCTTATGAGTTTTCCATTTGTTCTCTGGGACGTGATCATATTCTTACTTATCGTTTATATTTTCTTCTTTGGACAATGACACTTTCTGTGCCATAGTTTAGTTTCAGATGAATGAGTTATGCTAAGATATCTGATGTTATGATACATGCTCATTCTGATAGGGTCGTTGGCTGTTATATGGCTGCGTTCGACCTTTTTTTTTACAGATTTTTCTTGCACTGGCCGAGTTGATTGGCACTAGTACTGCCAATCATCAAGTTATCAGCTGCAGATATTGAATCGGCACAATACCAGCTCTTGACTGCATAAGTTGAAGCGGTTTCAAGATAGAATGTGCCGTACATTTTACGTAAAAAATCTTTTTACACTTCCCTTAGAATTAGATCGTAGTTATAATCCTAGTGCTTAGACTTTATGGGGTTTTTATGCCTCATAAATGATTGTGTGTTTTTGAACTATTTAGTGGGTCATGTCCTGTCTCTTTCAATCACAGCTGAAACTTTGAAAATGAAAACCAGATTGTAGAGAAGATTCATGTTCGATTCTTTGTTTTTTTTTTGGTTATGGCGGTGATAGCTATGTCGCATGCACGTTGTAGTTCTTGAACGTTGCGAATGTGCCCGTGAGTCCGTGACAAAGATTGTAAATGTCGTTGGAGTCACATCTGTGAACTATTTACGAGATGTGGATGTTAGATCGTCTTTGCTCCTCTCATTCCAAATGTTTTCCAGCCTCCCTCCCTCCCTCGTAATCCAATTTATTTTTCCTGACCTTCTGGATATCATGTAGAAGTCTTAATTTTTATGCCTACAGCTTAAAATCTGCAACCTTGGCAACCCCGGCGTCCATTTCGGTGCCAAACGCCTGACTCGTTCATCAGATGGTTTCAGACTTTCAGTTTTTGTATCAGGGTTAACTGTGATTATGTTTTTCAGTCGTCTTAAGTATGTTGCTCATCATCTTAAATCCACGCAATAACTCACCAGTTCTGGAGTGCTTTATCCACTTCTACTCCGCCTGGCCGAAATCGCTGAGGTCGGTTTAGGGACGATGAAGACTGAGAAACGCCTCAACCTAATCATTCATATCATGGTTTAGCACTAACAAGCATCTCCTGAAGAATATGAGCAAGCTCTGCAACAGCTTTCTTTGCCTCCACGTAATCTTGCACCTCTTATTTCTCATCTTTTTTAGGGTTTTGGCAGCTTCAATTCTCCAGTGTTGGATAAGGCTTGAAGGGTAGTAGGGCCCCAAAATCTACCAAAAGAAGATATGTGAGGTTTGCAAAAAATATATTTTATTAAAAGTAAGCACTACGGAATTGGATCATGCTGCCTACCAAAGCGCACAAGTCAATGTGTAGGCTTTGTCATGACATTTTCATGAGGGGCCAAGATAACAAGATAATAATTATTAAAAATTTGAGAATGAGTTAAAAATTTGAGAATAATAGAATCGGAGTGTTGGGGGGTTTTCGTGTTGAAGGGTTTTGATGGGCTTGTGTTATAAAGAGATGAGCTAAAACTCTCACGTTTCTCATTTCTGAGTTAGCAAGTACTAGACCCAAAACATCTTTAAAGAAAAAGCAAGTTTGAGGGAATGCTTTGTTGATCTTCCAGCAGCTCCTAGATGATTGGTTTGGTGTTATGTTGAGTGCTTCCAGCGCTAATGAGATGCTTACCTCACTGCTGATGGAGTGTTTCCTTCGGCGCTGATGGAGTGTTTTCTTAAGCACTAATGGAGTGTTTCCTTAGACACTAATGGAGTGTTTCCCTCGACGCTGACAGAGTGTTTCGCTGGGCGCTGACGTGTGTTTCCCTACGCGCTGATGATGAGGCTTGTTCAGGTCAGGATCCCAAACCAAAACCCAAGTCTCGATTCCCAAATTGATCCTTTTCGAGATGGAATTTCAAAACTCGAAACCAAACCGAAATTTCGGTATTTCTAAGTTGTTTTGATTTTTCAGTTTGAGATTAGGAAAAGCATATATTAACATAATTTAGAAAGATCGTATGAATGCATCCACAAATCACAAGTTTGCAATCCCCAAATTCCAAATTTACACAATTCGAAGAAAGCCCTCAATCAAAATTCAAAAGTAGAAAAATTGAACCAAATACAAAGACATCAAGCAGTAATTGAAATTAGGTGTTTTCAAAACAGAAATCCTAACTTTAATCCTAAATCCCCAAATTGAAAGCTCAAAACCATAATTCACAATTTCAGAATCCAAATCGATATCATGGTACAATAATTTCATGAATCTTGGTACCGTTCAGATCAAAGAAGCTTCGATTGGATATCGTGGTGGGAGATGGAAGTGGAACTGTAGAAGTCTAGATCTGGAATATGGAGGAGTCGTAGTCCGTAGAGGTGTGGTGGTCAGTGACTCGACGGCCGATGTGTTGAGTCCATTGTTTGAAATATCCTAGACATGCTTGATATTTCCACGGAAATATCCAAATTTAGGGAACGTTATGGAAAGAGGGGAACTTCACCCCATATTTGCAATATTTTCGAAAATCAGTCAATTTCCTTGATATTTTTAAGAAATATTCAATGTTTCCAGATAATTTGTAAAAAGTTTGCAGGAAATATCCATGAGCATGTGTATTCTTTATTTTTAAATTTTTTTTCTTTATGGTATTAGTTTACTTCAATAAAACTTGTACTGCTTTCATGACGAAAATTTCAATTAACTTATGTAAAATTTATTTTTTCTAGTGAAATGCTTTATCTTATTACTTGTCATTAGAAGGAAGTTTTTCTTCTCACATATCACATACTTATTGTTTACACAGTAACTAATCATTAATTTTTAATTCATACATGTGTTGTGGCTTCATATGACATTCCCTAAAAAATAATTTTAATTTTTCATGTTTTTGAGCAAATTTCCATAATTTCCATCATGTGTTGAGTCCGTTGAGTGTTGACAGAGCGGAGGAGGAAAGGAGTGGGTGCATAGAGATTCAAGAGGTATGAGTGAGAGAGAGTGCATGCTTGATTTAAGAGATGAGAGAGAGTGAGTTTTTGACCCCAACGGTTGAGATTTAATCAACAAAATCCAACGCTTACAATTTATGCTAATAAATATAAT